CCCCAAAACCCCAAAACCCCAAAACCCCGCATTAGTAACATCAATTGATCTCCTATAAAACTATAAAATTTTTATGAAATTAATCAGAACTATTGAAAATTATCAAATCACAGAATTGATTTAAGTTTCAGTGATCAAATTTATCATTTATACTTTCAAATTTAACTGCAAGTGGCATTGGTTAGTTAATAGTCAAGTTAGTTTTTCTTATTGCTTTGCTCAGTGATAGATTTCCAAATTAGGCATGCCCATTATTTAAACTTCTAGACAATTCATTGTCTCTTACAGTAGTCAAGTTATGAGCATTTCTAATAGAATCATCTCCCACTTAAGCTGTGAATGTTCTCTCAATTGTATTTAGTCTTGCTGCTTTATTATTTAATATTGGTGGAATTTTAAATGAATTCTTCATATCATGTTCATACTTTTAGAAAGCTCTTACAGTATTTTAAGCGAACTTTAAGAATTACTCTCTATTCTTTGATCTAGGTCGCATCTCTTCCTTGGACATTCTGGAAGGATTTTCTTGAAGATTAATAGTATCTTGCGATGTCTATATAAGATCTCTTAAGCCTTGATGATCTTTGTATTATTACTTAAAATTTATAAAGGCTATTCGGTCCTAAGTAAGATGCTATGGACTGACTTAGAATTCAGCTTAGCTTTCATCAGCATGCATAGAGTTTTCACCACCAACTAGAATCTCTTTTCCATCGCTATTATAATTTCTAAGTCTTTAAGTTTCATAGGAATGCTAGCTATCTTTAGTGTCGTAATATTTAATGTGATTAGAGAAATTTTGCTAGGTTTAGAGTAAATTTTTTCTAAGTTAAGATGGCCCATTTCTTGTTGTTCCGCCACTAATCATACTATTTTTATCACTATTTTTAAAATGATTATTATTGCTTGAGCTTCCACCATTTCCAATCCTAAAATTTTATCCTTCCCTTAGACTTGAGGAATCATTGAAACTTCTCTAATACTAAGTCTTAAATTATGTTAATTTGACGTCTATCAATTTTTCAATTTCTTTTTAATAATCTTATGGTAAACCGGCTGTATTTTTAGATAATCTAGAATCTTAATTACCTCTGGGTGACTTAGGGGGTTCATTTTATTGTTACTGTTTCGTCTTACTTTAAAATGGAGAAATTTTATCACTATTTTGATTGATTTAATTTGCTGTCAATTTCGATTTAGGAGATTTCATAACATTATTGCTCTGCATCTAAATATTAAGAACACCACTTGCTTCTTCATCTTTAATGTTCTCTAGTGCTCCTCCTCCAAAATTACTATTTCTCTTAGTCAATTTAATATTAGTGTTACTGTTAGGACTATTACTATTAGTAATTGAAGAACCTACATTTTTATTCAGTAAGTCCAGCTATTTTTTAGTTTTGATCTCAAAGTCCTTCCTCTCATTGTTTATCTCTTATATTTTAGCCTTTACTTATGTTTCTAACTATTTCACACTTTCAACTAACTAATCTTTAACTTCAACAAGATTTTTCTTTAGTTCAATTAAGTATTGATTGTTATCACTAGTATCCAGTTTTTTTGTTAGCAGGTCTAATTAAACTTAATATTCAATTATCTATTGCTATAGTTTTTCTTCAACTTTATCAATGTTTTAATGAATAGCTTCGTTTTAAGTTTGATAATCTCCAATGTTATCTTTGAGAGTTGACAATTATGTCTAAGTTACACCTTCAAGTTACATTTAGAAAGTTTTTTTTAGTTTCTATATATCTTTTTACAGCTTAGTTTTGACATTGTCAAGTGAAATACTCACGATTTAATCTGATTTATCATCTAAGTGCTTTAACTTTTGGTGTAATATTGAATGCTACTCTATCAAGTATTCCTTTAAATTAGGATAGCCTTGACCATTACCTATCATACCGGGAACTAACAGATTATCGTTAAATACTTTGTCTAATAATTTATTGAAATGTGATTCAATCAGATCTATTCTATGATTGAGTTCATAATTTGACTCCCCAAATTTATTTTCAACCCACTTTTTTACTATAGCTGTATCATCAATCCTGCTTAGTTTAGTATCAATAAATTCTCTATCTCTTTACACTTTCTAATGCAACTCTTCAAATCTTGCCTCACAGAGTTCTACCTTGTAAGTGACATCATTACTGATTCTTAGCATTTTTTCAGTCAATGTTCTTTATAGTTGATCAATATGTCTTTAATGCTGCTCCTCTATATCAATTATCGCTTTATCCATCTTCTTGACATTTGCATTATTCTTCTTTTGCCTGTCGTTTGTTTATTTAGTTACCTCATAAAATCACTTTTCAAGAATTTTTATAATTTCACACAGTGCTTTGGTTGATTCTATTAGAGGCACAGGAATATTGTACCATTTATCTGGTTGTATAGACAAAATAAGCTCAGCTACGACTTTAGTTTGCAGAAAAGGATTAATAGCTTAAAATAGAGCATTCTAAACCGGTTCGATAACTTCGGGCTTCTTCTCTTTTCCACCAAAAACATCTTCCTCACTTCTTAAGTCTTCTAACTCTCCAGATGTGCTAATAATTAAATGATTAGCTTTTTGGACTGGTGATTAGTTTTATGTTTTAGGACTACTCATTTCAGAAATATAAATTAAATCTAAGAAAAAGAAATCTTTATAATCATGATTTCATCATCACGGGGTTTTGGGGTTTTGGGGTTTTGGGG